GTGTGTGTGTGTGCTATGTGTTATGTGCACGTGTGTGTGTGTGCTATGTGTTATGTGCACATGTGTGTGTGCTATGTGTTATGTGCCATGTGCACGTGTGTGTGTGTGTGCTATGTGTTATGTGCACGTGTGTGTGTGTGTGCTATGTGTTATGTGCACGTGTGTGTGCTATGTGTTATGTGCACGGTGTGTGTGCTATGTGTTATGTGCTATGTGCACGTGTGTGTGTGTGTGCTATGTGTTATGTGCACGTGTGTGTGTGCTATGTGTCATGTGCACGTGTGTGTGTGTGTGCTATGTGTTATGTGCACGTGTGTGTGTGTGCTATGTGTTATGTGCACGTGTGTGTGTGTGTGCTATGTGTTATGTGCACGTGGTGTGTGTGCTGTATGGTGTGTGTGTGCTATGTGTTATGTGCACGTGTGTGCGTGTGTGTATGTGTTATGTGCACGTGTGTGTGTGCTATGTGTTATGTGCACGTGTGTGTGTGTGCTATGTGTTATGTGCACGTGTGTGTGTGTGTGCTATGTGCACGTGTGTGTGTGCTATGTGTTATGTGCACGTGTGTGTGTGTGTGTGCTATGTGTTATGTGCACGTGTGTGTGTGCTATGTGTTATGTGCACGTGTGTGTGTGTGTGTGCTATGTGTTATGTGCACGTGTGTGTGTGTGTGTGCTATGTGTTATGTGCACGTGTGTGTGTGTGCTATGTGTTATGTGCACGTGTGTGTGTGTGTGCTATGTGTTATGTGCACGTGTGTGTGTGCTATGTGTTATGTGCACGTGTGTGTGTGTGTTGCTATGTGTTATGTGCACGTGTGTGTGTGTGCTGTGTTATGTGCTATGTGCACGTGTGTGTGTGTGCTATGTGTTATGTGCACGTGTGTGTGTGCTAGTGTGTCTATGTGTATGTGCACGTGTGTGTGTGTGTGCTATGTGTTATGTGCACGTGTGTGTGCTATGTGTTATGGTGTTATGTGCACGTGTGTGTGTGTGTGCTATGTGTTATGTGCACGTGTGTGTGTGCTATGTGTTATGTGCTATGTGCACGTGTGTGTGTGTGTGCTATGTGTTATGTGCACGTGTGTGTGTGTGTGTGCTATGTGTTATGTGCACGTGTGTGTGTGCTATGTGTTATGTGCACGTGTGTGTGTGTTATGTGTTATGTGCTATGTGCACGTGTGTGTGTGCTATGTGTTATGTGCACGTGTGTGTGTGTGTGCTATGTGTTATGTGCACGTGTGTGTGTGTGCTATGTGTTATGTGCACGTGTGTGTGTGTGCTATGTGTTATGTGCACGTGTGTGTGTGCTATGTGTTATGTGCTATGTGCACGTGTGTGTGTGTGTGCTATGTGTTATGTGGTGTGTGTGTGCTATGTGTTATGTGCACGTGTGTGTGTGTGTGCTATGTGTTATGTGCACGTGGTGTGTGTGTGCTATGTGTTATGTGCACGTGTGTGTGTGCTTGTGTTATGTGCTATGTGCACGTGTGTGTGTGTGTGCTATGTGTTATGTGCACGTGTGTGTGTGTGTGCTATGTGTTATGTGACGTGTGTGTGTTGGCTATGTGTTATGTGCACGTGTGTTGTTGCATTGTGTATGTGCTATGTGCACGTGTGTTGTGTGTGCTATGTGTTATGTGCACGTGTGTGTGTGTGTGCTATGTGTTATGTGCACGTGTGTGTGTGGTGGCTATGTGTATGTGCACGTGTGTGTGTGCTATGTGTATGTGCTATGTGCACGTGTGTGTGTGTGCTATGTGTTATGGCACAGTGTGTGTGTGCTAGTGTATGTTCATGTGCAAGTGTGTGTGTGTGTGCTATGTGTTATGTGCACGTGTGGTGTGTGTGCTATGTGTTATGGCACGTGTGTGTGTGTGTGCTATGTGTTATGTGCACGTGTGTGTGTGCTATGTGTTATGGGTGCACGGTGTGGTGTGTGTGCTATGTGTTATGTGCACGTGTGTGCGTGTGGTGTATGGTTGTCATGTTGCACGTGTGTGTGTGTGTGCTATGTGTTATGTGCACGTGTGTGTGTGTGCTATGTGTTATGTGCAGCTGTGTGTGTGTGTGCTATGTGTTATGTGCACGTGTGTGTGTGCTATGTGTTATGTGCACGTGTGTGTGTGTGTGCTATGTGTTATGTGCACGTGTGTGCGTGTGTGTATGTGTTATGTGCACGTGTGTGTGTGCTATGTGTTATGTGCACGTGTGTGTGTGTGCTATGTGTTATGTGCACGTGTGTGTGTGTGTGCTATGTGTTATGTGCACGTGTGTGTGTGCTATGTGTTATGTGCACGTGTGTGTGTGTGTGCTATGTGTTATGTGCACGTGTGTGTGTGCTATGTGTTATGTGCACGTGTGTGTGTGTGTGTGTGCTATGTGTTATGTGCACGTGTGTGTGTGTGCTATGTGTTATGTGCACGTGTGTGTGGTGCTATGTGTTATGTGCACGTGTGTGTGTGTTGTGTGCTATGTGTATGTGCACGTGTGCTGTGTGCTATGGTTATGTGCACGTGTGTGTGTGTGTGCTATGTGTTATGTGCACGTGTGTGTGTGCTGTGTTATGTGTATGTGCACGTGGTGTGTGTGTGCTATGTGTTATGTGCACGTGTTGTGTGCTATGTGTTATGTGCTATGTGCACGTGGTGTGTGTGTGCTATGTGTTATGTGCACGTGTGTGTGATGTGTTATGGTGTTATGTGCACGTGTGTGTGTGTGTGCTATGTGTTATGTGCACGTGTGTGTGTGCTATGTGTTATGTGCTATGTGCACGTGTGTGTGTGTGTGCTAGGTGTATGTGCACGTGTGTGTGTGTGTGTGCTATGTGTTATGTGCACGTTGTGTGTGCTATGTGTTATGTGCACGTGTGTGTGTGTTATGTGTTATGTGCTATGTGCACGTGTGGTGTGCTATGTGTTATGTGCACGTGTGTGGGTGTGCTATGTGTTATGTGCACGTGTGTGGTGTGCTATGTGTTATGTGCACGTGTGTGTGTGTGCTATGTGTTATGTGCACGTGTGTGTGTGCTATGTGTTATGTGCTATGTGCACGTGTGTGTGTGTGTGTGCTATGTGTTATGTGCACGTGTGTGTGTGTGTGCTATGTGTTATGTGCACGTGTGTGTGTGCTATGTGTTATGTGCACGTGTGTGTGTGCTATGTGTTATGTGCTATGTGCACGTGTGTGTGTGTGTGCTATGTGTTATGTGCACGTGTGTGTGTGTGTGCTATGTGTTATGTGCACGTGTGTGTGTGTGCTATGTGTTATGTGCACATGTGTGTGTGCTATGTGTTATGTGCTATGTGCACGTGTGTGTGTGTGTGCTATGTGTTATGTGCACGTGTGTGTGTGTGTGCTATGTGTTATGTGCACGTGTGTGTGTGTGTGCTATGTGTTATGTGCACGTGTGTGTGTGCTATGTGTTATGTGCTATGTGCACGTGTGTGTGTGTGTGCTATGTGTTATGTGCACGTGTGTGTGTGCTATGTGTCATGTGCACGTGGTGTGTGTGTGTGCTATGTGTTATGTGCACGTGTGTGTGTGTGTGCTATGTGTTATTGCACGTGTGTGTGTGTGTGCTATGTGTTATGTGAGTGTGTGTGCTATGTGTTATGTGCACGTGTGTGTGTGTGTGCTATGTGTTATGTGCACGTGTGTGCGTGTGTGTATGTGTTATGTGCACGTGTGTGTGTGCTATGCGTTATGTGCACGTGTGTGTGTGTGCTATGTGTTATGTGCACGTGTGTGTGTGTATGTGTGGGGAGCAGCAGCACGCGGTTAGCGCTAAGCTGCACTACGAACTCGGCGACCAGAATTGATTCCCGCTCACGGCCAACACCAGTGACGATTATCTGAACCGGTCCTGGGCCTCCCTTAGGTCGACTCAGCCTCAAAATGAGTACCTGGTGCAGTGTGTAAACAACGTCACTAGGTAGACAAAGGCGGTCGGGCATGGTGCTGACCACCCACCCCTTCATGTGCCGTGCCGGCCTTCATAGGTGCAATTCACTAACAGCACTTGCCTCAAAAGTCTGTTCAGGCTATATAGGGGATCTTTGTCTTTTGTGTGTGTCTGAGTGTTGATAGTGAGTGCATGTGTACGTGCATAGTAGAGGTTTTCATCTCAGTCAAGTGAGATTACATTGGCTGGGTCACGTAGCCCGCATGCCCAGCCACCGCATTCCTCAGCAGAAGAGATGGACCGATGCGGTACAGGAAGATGTGAAGCTGACTGTATTTGCCGATGACCAGTAGCAGCAGTGTCAAGATCGGCTTCTATGGAGGAGGCTCGTGAAGGACGCTACTGGGCAGTTGGAGGCAGTTGCCCTCCAACAACAACGGAGGGCAGAGGAGCGACGCTCACAACAACGAGCAGGGCACCTGGTGGCTAAAATACTGCGAGGTGGTACAGTAAGGGGCACAGGTGGTGCATATGCCAATCATCTCAGTCAGTCAACCCATGGCACCCGGGTCTGTCCCGTGACCCCTGTTAACGAGCCTTTGGCACTTCACGTGCACCTAGCATGGTACACGTGCCTTGGTGATATCACCGCCACTTCGTGGTGAACGGCAGCTCTTTGTTGTTTTCATGTAGGGTTGCCGCGGTGGCTAGGAGATGTTAACTACTTTGCCTGGTATACAGGAGGCTGTGGGTTCAATCCCAACCCTGACGCCTGCTGCTGTATATTTGGAGTTTGCATGCCTCTCTTTCTCTCCCTGTGGTCGCATGGATTTTTCTCCGGGCGCTCCGGTTTTCCCCTCCACATTTAGAATCAACATCATGCGTTTAGAGTGTATGGCCGCGACTATAAACTTGCACATGATCACGATATCAGCCACTTCGTTGAGCTTTCATGTGTGATTGCCAGGTCGCTTCTGAAAAAGAGCTACGTAGCTCAGCGGGCCTTACACCGGGTAAAATACAAATAGCTTATAGTCCAGTCTGTGGGGTGTGCGTGCGAGTCGGGGGGGGGAGGGTCTGTGTTGAGTGGCGCTCACCAGAACTCCCCATCGTCTGCTACGGTGACGCCCATGTCTTCACGCTCTCCCTTGCTCACCTTCTTCCACTCCTCGGAGCTGCAAACACGCGCAAACAGGCGAGCGTCTGGACGGGTGTCTATACAGACGAGGATCTGGACATGATGGTCTTGATACAGGTCAGTGTCTGGACAGGTCAATATCTGGACAGGTGAGTGTTGGTGAGGCGCGTGCTCACCCGTCGCTCCAGGCCCCGTTCCACTCCTTCTGTCCCCAGGGGTTGCGCATGCGGATCATGTTGAGGCGCTCCGCGCGGAAGAACGCGACCAGGCCTTGGCCTAGCCGCACGCGGCGCACGTCCGTCACCGAGTACGCGTGGCCCTTCACCAGGCCGCAGCCCAGGCGCGCCTCCATCTCCGCCGAGCCCACGGCCTATAGTTACACCACGGTTACCACGGTAACACCATGGTTACCACTAACACCATGGTTACCATGAGAACACCACGGTTACCACTGTAACACCATGGTTACCACGGGAACACCACGGTTACCACTGTAACACCATGGTTACCAAGGTAACACCACGGTTACCACTGTAACACCATGGTTACCATGGTAATACCAAGGTGACACTTAATCAAGCCCTTCGCTAGGCCGCAGCACAGGCGTGCCTCCATCTCTGTGGAACCCAGAGCCTACGGTAGCACGATTGGTTATTATGGTAGCACCAAGGTTACACTGTTAACGTGGCCCTACATCCAGGCTGCGGTCGTCATGGTAACAACACGGGGAACGGTTATGGTGGGTGTGTAGTTGTGGTGGGTGTGGTGTGTGTTGAGACTGTGTATGCGTGTGTGTATGGAGCAGTGCGGTAGTGCTGCGCTACGACCCCGAGCTGAGCCGACCCCGAGTTTGACCAATTACAATGGAGGATATCTGAACCAGTCCTGGGCCTCCCCTAGGTCGGCTCAGCGTTACACGAGTACTTGGTGCCACGTGTAAACATTGGCATTGGGAAAACAAAGGTGGCTGGACGTGGTGCTGGCCAAACCACCCCCTTGTGTGCCGTGCCGGCCTTCATTGGCGTTACTCGCTAACAGCACTTGCCACAACAGGTAACACAGGGAGATCGTTGTCTGTGTACGAACTGTGGTGGTGGTGGCGGTGGAGGTGGCGGTCATGATGGCGGTGGTGGCGGCATTCGTGGTGGTGATGGTAGCAGTGGTGATGGTGGTGGTGATGATGGTGGTATTGGTGGCGATGGTGGCGGTGATGGCGTTCGTGGTGGTGATGGTAGCAGTGGTGGTGATGATGGCGGTGGTGGCGGCGGTGGTGGTGGTGGTGATGATGGTAGTGGTGGTGGCGGTGGTGGTGATGATGGTAGTGGTGGTGGCGGTGGTGGTGGCGGTGGTGATGGTGGCGGTGATGATGGTAGTGATGGTGGTATTGGTGGCGATGGTGGCGGTGGCTGACCCGTATGGATCCGCTGAGCAGCGCCCCGCGGCTGTATGCCTTGAGCAGCATGTTGAAGAACTTGTCCCTCTCGTCGTCTTGCTGCGAGAAGGCCCCTTCCAGCAGGTCCACCGACTCCGAGACGCCCCCCGTGAAGTCCATGAGCGCGTCGCCCGTGTTGCCCCCGTCCAGAGCCTCGTAGCAGCCACACAGCCTGCACACAGACACACAGCACACACACACACAGCCTGTACACACACACACAGCATGTACACACACAGCATGTACACACACAGCATACACACACACACACAGCATACACACACACACACAGCCTGCACACACACACACACAGCCTGCACACACACACACACACAGCCTGCACACACACACAGCACACACACAGCCTACACACACACACACAGCCTACACACACACACACACAGCCTACACACAGCCTACACACACACACACAGCCTGCACACACACACACACAGCCTGCACACACACACACAGCCTACACACACACACACAGCCTACACACACACACACACACAGCCTACACACAGCCTACACACACACACACACAGCCTGCACACACACACACACACAGCCTGTACACACACACAGCACACACACAGCCTACACACACACACAGCCTACACACACACACACACAGCCTACACACAGCCTACACACACACACAGCCCGCACACACACACAGCATGTACACACACAGCACACACACAGCCTACACACACACACACACAGCCTGCACACACACAGCCTACACACAACCTGCACACACAGCCTCCACACACACACACACAGCCTGCACACACACACACACAGCCTGCACACACACACACACAGCCTGTACACACACACAGCACACACACACACACAGCCACCCAGTCCCCTTACACACACACACACACACAGCCTGCACACACACACACAGCCTGCACACACACACAGCCACCCAGTCCCCTTACACACACACACAGCTACCCCACCAGTTACCCTATAGCCAAACTGCTCCCCTGAGTTCCCTTCTATCCACACAGGCCCCTCGAATTCCCTTCAATCAGTCACCCACTCACCCACCCACACAACCAATCAGTCATCCACCCACCCACTCACCCACCCACCCACTTACCCACCCACCTACCCACTCACCCACCCACCTACCCACCCACCCACCCACCCACCCACTCACCCACCCACCCACCCACTCACCCACCCACCCACCCACCCACTCACCCACCCACCCATCCACTCACCCACCCATCCACTCACCCATCCACTCACCCACCCACCCACCCATCCACTCACCCACCCACCCACTCACCCACCCACCCACCCACTCACCCACCCACCCATCCACTCACCCACCCACCCACCCATCCACCCACCCACCCACCCATCCACTCACCCACCCACTCACCCACCCATCCACTCACCCACCCATCCACCTACCCACCCCACCCACCCAAGTCACCCACCAAAGTCACCTGCCCACCCACCCAAGTCACCCGCCCACCCACCCAAGTCACCCGCCCATGCACCCAAATCACCTGCCCACCCACCCAAGTCACCCACCCACCCAAGTCACCCGCCCACCCACCCACCCAAGTCACCCGCCCATGCACCCAAATCACCTGCCCACCCACCCAAGTCACCCACCCAAGTCACCCACCCACCCACGTCACCCACCCACCCAAGTCACCCACCCACGCACCCACCCACTCGCCCAACCACACACACACCCACGCACCCAGCCACTCGCTCTTGCAAATGAGACTGCACCCCCCCCCCCCCCGTGGCCCCCTTCGAGGTCTCACCGCGGCCGCGCGCCACGCAGACTCGCGGCAGGCCCGGAGCGGCACGCGGCACGCGCCACGCGCCACGCGTCCACTCACTTGGCGAAGGCCTTCTCGAGCAGCGCCGACCAGAACTCGTTGGACGAGTTCGAGTGGCAGTAGAGCAGCTGCCCGTCCAGCGTGGGCAGCAAGTCGTCCACCACCACGTCCACCCACTCGCCAAACCGCCAGAAGCGGAAGTGGAAGATGCCCGCGTACTTCTCGGGGTGCGCCGGGTCCCACTCCTGGTCCTCGTGGTCGGGGATCACCTGGGGGGGTGGGGGATGGAGGGGGGGGCACGGGAGGGGGGGGATTGAGGGGAGGTTAGAGGTGACACGAGGCATCGATCCGAGCCTGCGAACGAACAGAGACGTCCACCAGCAACTCCACCAGCACCACCATCACTATCACCACCATCACCACCATCAACAACCAACACCACCATCATCAACACCGCCGCCACCACCACCAGCATGGCCGCCCAGCCGCTCAGACTCGAGGGAACCTCTCTGGGCCCATCGCTCAGTGCACCTGCCGATTCACCGCACTCACGAGAGAGAGAGAGTGGTAGAGGAGGAGTGGTAGAGGAGGAGTGTTACCGTAGTCCACAGGTTCTTCCTGTGTGTGAGGCAGGAGCAGGCCGCCACGAACCAGCAGTTCCCCAGGGAGCCCTGGTGCAGGTCGTGGGCGCTGATGCCATCGACGAAGAGACGCGGGTCATCGCACAGCTCCTGCACGCACATCGCCATCAGCATCATCACCATCAGCATCATCAGCATCAACATCATCATTATCAGCATTAACAGCAGCATGATCATCAACATTACAGTCAATATCATGACCACGAAGAGACGGGTCCTCACACAGTTTATGTGCACACCTCATCAGCATCATCATCAGACGCATTACTAACAGACCTGCATCATCATCAAAGCTACATTCGTCATCACCATTACCACAAAGAGGCACGGGTTCTCACCCAACTCTTGAGCGCACGTCATCATCAGCATCATCATCAGCATCAGCAGCAGGTACATCATCATCAGCATGATCAGCAGATCAGCAGCATCATCAACGCCACACTCATCATCATGGGGAAGGTTCATTGTTAAGAGCGTTTGCTTGGGCAGCAGCAGCAGTAACGGCCACGAGGCACACGACGGCCGGTGGTCAACACCAAGCACGGAGTGGTAGCCAAGGAACGCGCCGCGTCCCAGAGGACGTCTGCCCACCGGGGGAGGAGACTGAGCGCCGGAATCGGTAGCTGGAGCGAATCGGCGAGCGCCGGATGGTCGGTGCGCTCTCCGTGGCGCAACCCCGCGAGGCCGCTGCAACGCCACGCGGCACGACCCCCCCAGCCCCCCCCCCCGCGGCCAACGAGCCGACTCCACACCACCGTCCCGTCTCTCCAAACCACTCGGGTGGTAACGCGGCACTCGTCCCGCCAGCCACACGGCACCCTCCTCCTTCTCAGGGACTGCATCGTTTCAGGCGCCGCGCTGCTGGGAGATGTTAACTACCCCGACTGGTGGGGGGTGGACTCAGCCCATCATCACTCCCTCTGTCTGGGGTCGATAAAATTGGCAAAACTCCGGGGGGGAAGTCAACGGCGATTGTTCTGCAGATAGACTCCACAGAACAATCGCTGCCACGGTGGCTAGGAGACGTTAACTACCTCGTCTGGTACGCAGGAGGTTGTGGATACGATCCCAACCCTGACGCCTGCTGTATATTTGGAGTTTACGTGTCTCTCTCTCCCCATGGTCGCGTGGATTTTTCTCCGGGTCCTCCAGTTTTTCCTTCCACATTTAGAATCGACATTAAACGTTTAGAGTATTTGGCTGCTTCGATTTAAAGCTTTCGTGACTGCAGGGATTCATATTCTTGGTTCTTTTGGTAAAGTCACGTAGAAGAAAAATAATAAAATAATAAAAGCCCCACTTTTTTCAAATTTTCTTGCTGTGGTTTTCACACCTGATGATGATTGCTTGTGTTGCAATCGAAACGTCGTGAGAATATTATTGTTTTATTTATTTTATTTTATTATTTCCCTTTTACGTGACTTTACCGAAAGAACCAAGAGTATTTGGCTGCTGCTAACATGTCCACGTGATGATGAGCCACTTTGCTGAGAGACCGTTTGTGGCTAGGTCGCTTCTGAAAAACAGCTACACAGCTCGGTTTTCGTTTAGTTTTCGAAGGCCCTGGTTCAGCACGAGCGAAACTCTGGACCGATTTCAACAGTCTCTCATCAGCAGGGTCAGCCTTTGCTACTGCCAGATGTTTATAGGCAGGTAGGAGCTCTCTCTCCGTGCTAGACATGTTGGTATGTATGGTGGGCGTCTTTCACACCGCACGTCGCTGACCCTGATAATCGTAGGTCCCGGTTCGACGACATACTCTACAATAAACACAGAAGCATCACATACCTGTCAACCCATATGCTTTACCCGTATTCTTGTACAGGTAAATTGAGTTTTCAGGTCAAAAATTAGTTTTTGTCTATTTGTTTGTGTTTCTCTCTTGTGATAGGACTTTGAAGGATAAACGTTGAGATTTATAAGGGCACGGAGTGACCAATAAGGTCTGAATTGGTCTGTAATAAGGTAGGCCCTGATCAGGGGTTGACAATATGCCATCACAAACATCGCCATGGAGAATGCAACAGAAGAAACATCTGGCGTTGCTGTGACGATCACACGATTCGCGATTGCGATTCCGTTCAGCAAAAGGTAACGCCACGTGATGAGCGATGGGTCGTATCGCTGTTCCGAAACGTCTAACTTCCTGACAAAATATTTCGTGAAAGTTTCCAGGTGGATTGTGTGACCATGTGAGAACTCAGGAGACCAGGATGGAAGTCTTATTCGCACAACTTACCTGGGTCACCAATATGGCATAGAGATTCATAGAAACACAGAGACCCATAGAGATGCATAGAGATGTAGAGAGACAGATAGAGACACAGATTTATATAGAAATATGCATTGAGAAATGCATATGGATACAGAGATACACATAAAGGGAGAGAAATACAGGTTCATAGATATACAAAGACCCGTAGAAATAGTTTCCCAATGTCAAATTAATCTTGTTTTAAGCAGCTGACATTTCCAGAGATAAGGATAGAGCCTCATTTGCAAGTGACTTGCTGCTGTGGTCTCGCCTAGGGGCACCCCTTGTGGCAGCTGTCACAGTGCATTCGCCTTCTGCCAGTAGGGGCGATGACGGCTGCTTTGCGTGCATCATCCTAGTTGAGTTGTTCAGGTAACGTTACGCAACACGGAACAACAATAGAGTAATCTAATAACAGCAGTGACAGCGCATTCACCGCAGGTGCAGCGTCCTGGTATCATGCACGCACGCGGGTGTTAGATTACCGCTCGCAGCCATGACTCATCGCGTCGGTTTCATTGATAACTATCGCTTTTTAATCTGTGCTACTCTGTCGTTTTAATCGGGTTGATATGTACGATTGTTTCATGCAGTTTACCAGGTAAACGCACACCAAGCTGTGTGGCTTTTTTGCCGAAGCGACCTGGCGATCAAAAAATGATCATCACCGCGTGGACATTTTAGCAGTAGCCAAACACTCTGAACGTGTGATGGTGATTCTAAAAGTGGTGGGAAAAGTCGGAGGACCCGGACACAAATCCATGCGACCACGGGGAGAGAAACATGCACACTCCAAATATACAACAGGCATCAGGGTCGGGATCGAACCCACGATCTCCTGTATACCAGGTGAGGTAGTCACATCTAAAATTTCCACGCGATGATAAGTTACTTTGGGGCCGTCCATAAATGACATCACGCGATTTTGGACGATTTTTGACCCCCCCCCCCCTTCGTCACACGGCGTCACAAAAAGCCACACCCCCCCCCCCCCCCAAATATGACGTAACAAAGCTCTGCCCCCCCCCCCCCCCCAAATTTTTTTTTAAACATGCTTCAAATCGCTTTAAACTATTGTCATTGTAGTGCGTGTTTAATGTGTGGCGCTGCACTCTGATGTTGTAGAAGAAAACATGTATTAAAAAGTCGATTTAATTAAGTAGAACGTGTTGTCTATATTTATTTGAAGTTGCGCATTTTGATGTGACGTCACATTTCTCAACCCCCCCCGCCCTCGTCACACATCGTCACAAATGTCTGACCCCCCCCCCCCCCAGGTGCGTTACGTCATTTATGGACGGCCCCTATGTTGAGCTATCACAGGGGTCGGCAAACCTGCGACTCCGGATTGGAATGCGGCTCTTTGAGAACCACTTCGAGACGTTGTCCATGAAGGAGCACCACCATGCCGCTTCCATCACGTGCACTGCAGCTCTTGAAATGTTGAGTTTCTTACCGAATTCTAGAAAACAATCCTTGCTGTTATTTTGGCTGCAGACCCCCTGAGCTTTCATTTGTGATCGCCAGGTCGCTTCTAAAAACAAGTCAGCAACAAACCTCAGTGGACCTTACCTGGTTAATATAAAAACTCGTGTTTGTTTTATATCTTTGGGTTGGACACCTGTCCAGAAGAGCTACAGAGCTCATTGGGTTAACCGGGATTCCGTCAAATTGTCCGTCTCTGTAACTTCACCACGATTGTCGTTTATCTTCCAGTGCAGGGGTCGGCCGCCAAGAAGAGCAAACAAGTGGCTCTTCGTCAACAAGTGGCGCTTCTGGTTATGCACTGTGGTGCTGTGGCGAATGCGAGACGTTCCATGAACTTCAATTTCTGCCACCTTATTCTAGCTCCTGCGGCGGGGGCACTTTGCGCTTGGCCAGTCGCCCCCCCCCCCCCCCCACTGATGTCCTCTTCCCCCCCTCCCCCCCCAATGTGTGCAGATACTACTTCTAAAAACAAGAGAGCTACAAACCCCAGTGGGCCTATATGCCTACATACTCTATATACTATAGAGTCAAAAGATACTACTATAGTCAGTAGATACGATAGTCAGTAGATACTCAGTACTACTGACTCTTGTATGTAGAGTGTGTAGGCATATATGCCTAGTAACTACAATGGCGTTAGTAGTATCTACGGACTCTATTGTATGGATGGTGTGTAGGCATATATGCCTATATACTACACCGCCGCTCTTGATGACGGCGCCCTGGCGGCGTTTATCACCATCCCGCCGTCGGAGAGGGCCACGCTGACTCAAGCATTTGACCAAATGGCGGCAATTTAGGAGCCGCCGTCGAACGTGCACCATAAGTTCGCTACGCGAAGGAGAGGGGGAACCGAGACGCCCCTCACCTTCCGTAGTGCACTTTTGGCGCGAGCGAAGGCTGCCTTTCCGAGGATGGACCACGACGGAGTCGACTCGCTGGCCCTTGAGAGATTTTTGGCTTTGGCTAAGGACCTCAACATCGTCCTGCCGCCCGTAGACGACGACCTTTCGTCGATCAAGGTTGCAAGATGCATCCAGGCTCAACAGCTCTTGCAACGGCACAAAGGGTTGGCGGCGTGTACCACGCCCCGTGAGGGGACGGATACACCTGAAGATGTGGAACCCGTCCCAGCCTGCACGTCGACCCAGAGCGGAGGCGAGTGATGGGACGGCATGGTGCGACGTGCGACGGACGGACGGCCAATGACGGCAGAAGACATCTCCTCGTCCTGGGAGCGGGCTCGTTGTGTGCTACAACTGCGGCCTGCCGGGACACGTCTCGTCAGGCTGCCGAGTGCCGCGATGACGCCTCCCCGGACCATTGCCGTCATCCGCCCGACCGTCTT